GCGTCGACGTGGCCGCGCGCCGCCGCCTCTGGCGCGCGCTGCGCCGCGGTCTGCGGCACCAGCGCGCCGTCGTCATCACCTCGCACAGGTACTGTGTCTGCTGGACGAGCCCAGCGCCGGCGTCGACGTGACTAAACGAAATTACGGGTATCTGTTCGTGTCCATTTTACTATACCAAATGAGAATGTTAACACAGGAATTGCAAAGGTATTATAAGCTTTAAAAAGATTTTTTGAGTGGAGTTATTTTTTACATATTACATGAAGTCGATTTGTAAACTGTGTACATATTTTTTTTTTATTTTAATGTGATCTATAATGTTAGACTGGTGAATGCCTAAGTATTTATAAGTTTCTGTAGGTTCCATAGATTCAAATGCATCAGTCTCGTCGACATTGTTAACAGTACTTATTATTTTGTCTTTTTGAATGTGTAGTATGCGGCATTTATCTAGACCAAATGACATATTTATGTCTCTACTAAATTGGGAAGTTAAATCTGTTAGGGATTGTAAGCAATTGTTAGATTTTGCAAATATACATTAGATGACTTATGGCTGTATCTGAATTTAAGCTATAACCATTATTTGTATTATTGAGTAGGTGAGACAAAGGGTTTAAGGCAAGGCAGAACCATAGAGGACTGAGAGAGTCTCCTTGAAAAATTCCATCTCTGATATGAATATCATCTGTGGTGATAGTATCTGTACCATTAGTTAGGTGTAGGGTTGTTCTCCAATCAGACATAGCATTTCTCAAAAAGTTAATAATGGTAGGATTTATTTTATATATTGCCAAGAGTGGGGAACGCTATCGAATGCTTTTCTGTAGTCTATGTATGCTATGGAGAAGTTTTTCTTTTGTGTATGAACATATTTTAAAATGGTGGAGTCTAATATAAGCTGTTCTTTACATCCTCTATGATTTTGCCTACATCCTTTCTGTTCTTCAGACAGTATATTGTTTCGGTGAAGATGACTATTAATTAATTGTGTAATAAGTGAAGTAATCAGTTTATAAATCGTCGGTAGGCATGTAATGGGGCGATATTGGGAAGGATTCGACGTATCATTACTTTTAGGGAGCATGTAAGTGACTCCTTTTGTAATAAAATTAGGCATTGTCTGTTCACCTTTAATGATTTCTGTAATGTTTTTAGCTATAATGTTATGGAGTGTGAAAAACTTTTTGTACCAAAAATTATGAATGTTGTCTATACCAGCCGCTTTCCAATTCTTCATTCTTGATGTGACTATTGCAACTTCTTCTGGTGTGATATCAGCTAATTCCATCTCTTCTGTGGCAATCATCTTATCTCTCTCTTCCTCAATCCATTTTGCCTCATCATTATGGTCGTTTCGTTTTTCCCATAAGTCAGCCCAGTAGTTTTTGAGTTCATTTGAATCGGGGATTATATTGTAATTATTTGGTATTCTATTGCCTCTACATGTTCCATAAAAGTTTTTCTCATTAGTTATGAACAGTTTATTATCTTCTTTTCTTTGAAGAGATTTTAAATATCTTGCAAGACGTTGTGATTTTAGAACTAATTTTTGCTTTAATGTATCTAAATATTCTTCTGGTCTTATGTTATTTGGTTCATGTATAGTATGTACTTTTGTTTTTCTGAATATCCTATTTACTGTTTTCAATATTTTTCTAGATCTATTGTTGTTAATATATTGTGTCAACCTACCTATATCTGTTCTTAAAATTTTTATATCTATTTCAAGTCTTTTTTGCCACGAAGGTGTATAGTTTTTACGAGATTGAGGGGATGGTTTATGTGTTCTTATTTTGTATCCTAATCTTTCACAAATAACGCACGCACTGCAATATATTAATGTATGTATACCTAGCAAATCAGAGTCAATAGAATAGAATCGGTTTAATATTTGTTTGTTAAATAAATCAACCAATCCATAGAGCTTTTTGTTCCCTCTAAGTTTTGGTAGCTTAGGACGTGTTGTTGGATCTGTACCGGTGTATTGAATAAGAGTAGTTTCAAGTTGGTTTATCAACTCTTGTGTATATGTGTCAATGTCTGTCGTATCTCTAGGTTGCGTGATCAGCGCCTGCTGTGATAAAAATTCCTGGGGGTAGTTTGTTTGAGTGAATGCGTGTTGAGTGAATGTTAAGTGTTGTGTGCATGATAAATTTGTATGTGATGATTGTGTGTTTGGGTTTGTGTTATATGTAACTGGGGGTTCTACGTTTAATTGTTCGATTGGTTGGGATGGAATGAATGATTGTTGACTGATATTATTAGTGACTTCTGCAGCTGTAGCCAAATACCACTTAGCGCTTGTCTACATGTCGAATAGAAAACCAAATTATATGGAATTGACGTAAATTTTGACACTTTTCAGTGTCATCCTCATACATTTTGATTTCTACTCTTTCTGTAGACAAGCGCTAAAGTGGCGTTTGGCTAAAGGCACATATGTGTTTTCGACATTGAAATTCTCTCTTGCTTCTTCCTCCTCTAAAGTCCTACGGACTTCTTCTTTTAGCTGATCTAGAGTGTCTTGGGACAGGCGCTTGTTTCTAATTATTGTTCGCATTTGGTCTGACACACGCTGTTCGGAAACTGATACTTGTGGATTTTGACGTGAGAATAGTTCGTGCAATCGTTTCCTATATGTTGTCATATCTGTCTCTAACTTTGTAATGTAATAATAAGTGCGCATGTTGAATATATTCACATCGTTACTCCAAGACATGCATACTCTTGGTTTACCGGCCTTGGTGGACGCAGGTAAAAAGGTATTAACCTCCCGCGCAACATCCAAGGCTGGAATGAATGGGTCTCTAACCCTGACTGTAGGTGGTGATGAATTAGGCGACGAACGTAACGATTGCAATGAAGGGTATATGAGATGGTACTAGGACTATACGGTTCTTTTGGGAGATTTGTGGCATCGTCATTAAGACTATCAGAATATTCTTGTTCGGCTGTGACCTCTGTTGATGGGAGCCCGCCTGCTCAACTCCGCACCACTGACGGGTCGCATGCTGAAACACCCAGCGTCAGCTCCAGGTGTGCCCCGGCGATCGCCCCCGGGAAGCGGCCCTCTCAATTTTCTCTTTAAACGTGTCTCCATGATGTATGGGTTTCCATTGCCATGTTGGCCGCGCCAGTAATTTATCAATCGCGTGTCCGCCCCCCACGTGAATCTGATGGTCGATTCGGACGTATGGTTGGATTTTGGTATTGTTATTAATACTAATAACTTTAATTATCAAAAGTAATTTCAAATTACAAGTATACTCTATTAATTTTGAGTATAACTAAAGATGTACAAATTATAAAAATTCTGACTTCCCCATGTATAACATGTTAATAGAAAACAAGCAAACAAAACTATATAAATGAAAACATTCATTATTATTTCAACATTACAATACTGCACAGTTAGTTCGGTGCCTAAGCAACCGGCTGCCGCACAAAGTGTCGAGAGTTCAGTCCCGCACGGAGCAACTCTTTGTATGATCCACGAATTGTTGTTCCGAATCTAGGTGTGATATATATGCAAACTTGTATATTTATAATCGCACCCACGACATAGAAGAAAATCCTAGTGTAGGGAAAAATTTTCTTTTATACTCCACTAATTTCGAACCCAACCGGAGCACTGGAAATGACTGTAGCGACTGCGAAAAATATACAAATAAGTCATTATTATTCATGTAAACAGAACCAGATAAAATAAAATAGGTACCAAACTTCATATTTATACCATCAATTCCAACGTTACATCACTAGATAAATATTTATTTATCTTTATTTTGTAACTAGGGCTTTTTAAGATAAATGCGTGTGAATTAAAATGTTTTAAAACAGTCGTAATAAATAATGCCCCCAGTATGGACGAGATGGAGGCGCTGTGTTCCCGCATCGCGATCCTGTCGGGCGGGCGCGTGCGCGCGCTGGGCACGGCGGCCGGCCTGCGCGCCGCGCACGCGCACGGACACGCCGTCGTCTTCAAGGTCACCAACGCACTCTCGACTGACGGTCTGTACTACGGATACTTGTGTTCATTTCATTGTATCTACAAAATATCCTTCCTACTAATATTATATACATTTCACGACTGTCTCCCATGGGGGTAGGCAGAGAGTATAGAACGCACATTGCTACGATCCCTACTAATGTTAGAAATGCGAAAGTTTGTAAATTTGTTTATTACTTAACGTCAAAACGGCTGAAGGGATCGGGTTAAAATTAGAACAACTGTAGTTTGTGCTCTGGAATAATACAAAGGCTACCTTCTAACACATGAGAACGTGAGCGAAGCCGCTAGCAGAGACTAGTATTAGAATAAACGTGAACAACACAAATTAGGAGATAAAATCTAAAAATGTTCATCTTCTAACAATCTCATATACTACCATCGTTGAGTCTGTTTTACGAATATACCTTTGTTGTATTCATTGATTAACCTAACTCTAAGAGACGTCAGAATATTTCATAAAAAGCATGTACTACGCTCAAAACTCAAGAACAAAGGCAAAGCATTTATTTCAATTAAACCATAATTTGATACCTACATAACAACACGCCTTTTATTCCCGAAGGGCTACCCCTTCGGGGATAAAAGGCGTGTTGTTATGGGTGTTACTTCTGTGTGCAGAGGTGCACACAGAAGTAACACCCACTTTTCACTATTTATGTTATGAGTCCCATGTAATAGGGGGTGAGCCTATTGCCATATACCGGGCACAATTGCAGACTCCATGCTACTACTGAGTTTTTAAAAAAAAAAAACCAGTAATACCCCTTGCCCGGCAGTCGCACTCGCGACCACTCGGTCGGCGACCATAATTTGATATGTTTTTATAATAACTATCGTGAGTGATACTAAGTCAACTGAAAATCGCGGGTTACTCACTTGAATATAGTGAGAAAAGCTCTACTAGTTTCGAATTGTAATGTTAGAGAGAAATACAATAGTTACATATCTTTACTTACAGAAGTGGACGGCGCTAAGCAACAGTTGGATCGACTGAAGGGGAAGCTACAGGAGACCTTCAACTGTTCACTCAAAGACGAACATAAGGTCAGTATGTCGCGTGTCAAGTGTTTGTTGTTTTCAAAAGCTATTTCTAATTATTTATTTGTCAAAGTCAAACAAAGTCAAATCATTTATTTCAATTAGACCAGGAAGGCACTTCTGAACGTCAAAACAAAATATTTAAATATTAAATAATAAGAAAAAATGTCAGTCTGTAGGTCAGTCCTCTAGTGAAGCTATTTGCTCGTTCCAAAGTGTAGATTCCTATGGAGAAGAACGAGCAAGAAACTCCATAGGTTACTCTTTTTCAATCATGTTCACAATACAATTTTTGGTTACATTCTTAATACCAATATTTGGTCAAGGAGACGGAAAAAGAAAATAACCTTGAAGACAACAAATTTAATACAGTCTGGAGCTGACCAGTCCCAGTTGACGGCGCCCGTTCACGAACATGCCACGTACACCAGCACCGCCCAACTCGACCATGTTATAGGGAATCGAGCGATTCACTGCACGCGCCACTGCCAATGAGACTTTTCAGTGAGCGACAACTCCAAGCTGACACACATGCATTCTTCTAGTCTAATTTAATTTAGTTAGTTACAGGGCTCTCACATTTACAATAATTATATAAAGTTTTACAGTATACATTTGAACAAAATGGCTATATTTTGACATGATTGGAACTCATTGGAACATCAAAGTTTTTTCGCTATCCTGTGGAGCCGGACTAGCCTGCCTCCAAGCATTTTTATCCTCTATGTAATCATCAAGTTTGTAGTATTATTTTCCACATAATGTTTTTTTTAATATATAATTTAAATTTCGACTCATTTAAGTGTAGTATTTCCTCCGGAATTTTATTATAGCATTTAACACAGAATCCCCTAAAGGACTTTTGTCAATCTAAATAGTGGCCGACTTAGTCTATCCCTATGTCTAGTTTGATAGTGGTGTCTGTCAGACACTTTACCAAACAACTGTAGGTTTGTGTGGCGTAAATGATCATTTTTGTAGCATACTTGAATGTAAGAATAACATATAATATAACATCAATGAAGGCGTAGGCACAGGTGCACATTACGGAACTTAAAGCCACAGTACAATGTAATACCCACTTTTCACTATTTATGTTATGAATCCCATGTAAGAGGGGATGAGCCTATTGTCATATCAGGTCTATTTCAAGACTACGTGCTGCACTGAGAATTTTTTAAAGCCCAATAATACTTTTCCCGACACTGGAATCGAACCCGCGATCCCTTGTTCGGCAGTCGCACTTGTGACCTCTCGGCTAACGAGACAGCCTGAATGTAATAATGTAACTACCACAATTGGTTACTTTCCTGACTCAAAAATAAATTATTTCGACTATTCAATACAATAAAATATTAAAAAATAGTCATACTTTCACTAATTGATACTATAATATACTTTTTTCGAACTGTCAAAAACGACGTAATAACTTAAACATAAGACACATTATAACCAAAAAATATCACAGTATTAACAAAACAATTCGCGGGCCTGCGGACGGCGAGCATGGGTGGCTCCCCGTCCGACCAGAAACAGACCCGAACGTACGGCGCCGAGCGTTCCGCGCGCGCCTCAAAGAGCCATCAGACCACCACAGATGGGGCCCAATACGGCCGATGCCGATTCGGAGTCGCGGAGAACCTAACGGGTAACCGGGGCTCCGGCTCGACGTGCAGGAGAAGGAACGGGGTGGTTTTTAGTCAGTAAGAGTCTGACACTCCCTCCCGCCTCACCCAGGCGGGAGCAGTCATTCAATAATTTTCACCCCTTAAAAAAAAAAAAAATTAACAAAACAATTACTAAAAGCCATTTGTTTTCCCCACAGACCATGTTGCACTACCATATAAACGATACGATGCGGTACAGCGAACTGTTCACAGAGCTAGAAGCTCTAAGGACAGAGTTTCCAAACCTGATCGAGGACTACTCCGTCACGGAGACAACCCTGGAGGAGGTGTTCCTCTCATTCGCGAAGGAACAACAGGCGATCAACCAGACTGTCTAGAATTATAATTCTTAGAACAAAGGTAATTTGCTTTAGAATAAGAAAAGAGAGAGAAAACATCTTCTTCTGCTGCTTATTTCTTCCTTTACAAAAGTATCAAGGTCACATTAAATGTGGACCTTTGGATTTGTGGTCAATAAAAGAGATGTTTCCAAGTCATAAATATGTTTTACAAAAAGTTTTCTATAGATAGTACACGAATTGTTTTTTGATGTGTCTGGGAACACAATCTTTTCTTGAATTATCGAAATGTAACACCCAAATGCTTAAATGTTACTCAATTTGAAGTCGCGCTAAATATAGTTCTGTCTCAACAAATTCTTTATACAATGACAGAGACAGCACGATATTTAAGTACAATTTAAAACTGAGTAGTCTTTTAGTATTCGAGCGTGAAAGAAATATAGTTTTGACTGAGGAAACATTTCATTTGTAAGAGTTTTTAGTTAAACAAGTTGTGTGCTTGGTACATTGAGCGCCGATTTTCAATCATCAGTTAAATCTTAACTATGGAATAAAATTGACATTTGACAGGTTTTAGTATCGAAGAATTGGCTACTTTCCTAGGTTTAAAATAAATTGTTTCAACTTTTCAATGCAATAAATAATTAAAAAATAATCATACTCTCATTCATTGATTTGACAATTTAACTACTTTTGGATTTTTTTTCGCTAATTTTAAAGAAATAAGTATGCTGTTTGACGCAGAAATATGATGACGTCACAGGTTTTGATCCAATACAAAATTCATAGAAAAGTATCCATTTTGACATTTCAATAAAAGTATTGAATTTGACTACCTGTCAACTACCGTGTTGTCAAATATTGAAAGTTATTCTTCAATTAAAATTTAACTGAGGATTGAAAAATTGGTTCTGTACGAAATAGAAGTTCTTTCACTATACACATACCTATAGGCTTTCCCTGTATCAGTTACTTTTATGACCAAATGGTCGACGTCAATAATTAAACATTAAGAAACAGATGCTTAATGGTCAAATAAAATACTACTTTTTATCAAGATACTTGAACCAATCGCATAACTTGTTTAATCAAGAAAACAACATCAATTTAAACTTGTAACAAATATGTAACAATATATTTATTTCTACGAAGACAACTAACAAATGTTCAAAGACTGTAGAAAATCCGTATTTTTTCATAAATAATACAACTTCTACATTCCCGATATATGTGTCTAGTCATAAAATAGTATTTTTCTATGCTAGTATCTCGATCGAATTCCATCACCGTGAACAATAAGAAAAACTCAAATCTAAATAGTTTTTAATTCTGAGTCTGTATGAAGTTTTTAAACGCCTTGTACACACGGCTACACATCGAGCTTTACATAACCAGTATAAACTGAACGTTAAATGTGCGGAAAGATGATGCGACGTGACACCAGGATAAACTGGTTTTGTATAGATTGATGTGTGGCCGTGTGTACTAGCGCTGAACGACCATCCATAAAGCCATTCATAAGGTGATGACCTCACAAAGGTCGCAGGGAGCCTTCAATTGTGAAAATAACAGAAAGCAAGAGACTTAACTTCAATTCTCAGTTAAAGCAAATTGTTATAATGGTCTGTATATCTGTCTGTTGTTGTTTAGCAATGTCCATATAAACCCGCTTACAATAACATAGTATGAACAAAAGCTCTCTAATTAATAAATTTGGGATTTTCAATAATATTATTTACGGCTTACTTACGAGGGTGCTCGACTACTTTCAAGTGATACCGGGGCTCATAATCCGAAACACAGCAAGCTATATCAGACTCAATAAAGAAACCGTAAATAATTTCATAAAAATATGCAAATGTAGTTCTTAATTTCATGCGTGTTTTGTTTTGAAAAAGATCTGATAAATACTATATTTAAATAACTATAAGTAAATTGTGCACTAGACTTTGCTTGCTTGTAACCTTAGGGCTGAATATATGTCTGAACGATTTTTATTATTTGTCAACTAACGGCAATTATTGATAGTAAGTCGCCATCTATCTTTATGCAAATGTCTAATTGAAAGACGTTCATCCGTTTTTGAGTGATTGTTTACCAAACATACAAGTATTAGTGTTTATGGTGACTTCGGTGTTAATAAATGTTTACAAGTGTGTAATTGTACAAAAATCCTGTTCAAACTGGAAGAATTTAAGAGAAAAACTCGAAAGTATTTTATTAAAATTGTAACCATAGTATTCACTAACAAAATGTGTAAATCCTCCCTTTTCTTAAATCAAATCAATTGGGTACTTTCCTTAATCAAAAATAAATTATTTCGACTGTACAATACAATCAAATATTAAAAAATACATCACACTTTCATTCATTGATTTTATGACCAACTTAATTTTAGTATATTTCCAGCAAATTTTTAATAAATAAGTATGTTTTTTGACGTGTCGTCACAATACACAATCTCGTACAAAATGCATAGTAAAGTGTCGTTTTTGACAGTTCGAAAAAAGTATTTGATTTGGCTAGTTGGCCAGTACCCAATTGTATATTGAATGAGTATTAGACCCTTAAAATTGCAATTAGAAAAAGAAATCTCCATTTTCCTGATTAAACTTTACATCCATATCTGGCGAAGGAATACAGCGCAGTTCATCAGATACTCACTAAAAGACCACCATTTCATATTCTTTCTCAAACCATAATTACTAGAAAAAATCTCATATTATATATATAATATTGAAGGACATCTTCATTATCACTGATAATACTAAATATGTTATGTACGGAGTCGTGTTATCGCTAAGGCAAAGGGGCCTAGGGTGTCAGGTTAGAGAAGAGCGCCGCGGTACGTGCGTGCGTGCCTAACAGCCTATGGGCTGAATGGCGCCAATGCTAAAAAAATTAGCGTCGCCTTTAAGATGTTCGCCTAGGGCGCTCTCTAGGTTGAACCCGTCTCTGATTATATGTCTGTTTGTATGAATGACAAGCTTATTACACGGATATAACAATGCACTATACTGAGTGTGTGTCTCAATTATTACGATATTATTATTATTAAGTGAAAACCATTGTAAATTAATATTTATTGTGTACTTAGTTGTGTTTTACACATACTCAAATTACTATTTACGAAGTAACTCGACTAGTTTCGAGCCACGCTAGGGCTCATAGTCATGACAAAAAGTAGCTTGACTTGTCTAAATTAATCGAGTGAAATCGTCAATCAGTTATGTGAGTATTCTGTAAAACATAATTAATTTAATATGTCACAGATATACAATATACGGTAGGCAGCAAGTCAACCTATCCTTTTTGTCAAATTTCTCTATTATATCTTCAACTTTATCGTATTGACATGAAGTCGAAAATCCAATGAATAAATTTGACAGTTTGTAGTAAATTGATCTGCTGGCCATTGTACCATATTATTCAATGTATCCGAACACTGAAGCCTTTATATCGTCGTTGTAAATTTAAGACCTCCGATGTATAAAATTATACTTAATGAAAAAATCGATAAAATCCATCTACTGGAAATATGTTAGAAAACAAAAAAATGTAGATTACTAGGTATTGCCCGCTACTTCGCTCGTGCTCTTTTGCAAGCCCTTGAGAGCAGATTTAAAAAAAAGATACACGATTTTTTTATTAGGCACAAATAATTCGCGTACCAATTTTTGGTACGATATGCTCCATACAAACTTTCACTCTCCTTTTAGGGAAGAGGAGGGTTAGAAAGAGACAAAAATAGCATAATACGTTACTCTCCATCTCTTCAACTATCTCCACATTAATTCGTAGCTCTGTCTTGTTATGAAAGACAAACAAACAGACACACACTTTCACCTGTATAATATTAGTATCGACTTTTACATATTAATTTTCTTGCAATTTTATTTTAATAATATTATTATTATTACATTTTCAGTATACAGTCTTTATCGATTTTCTTGATTAAAATTTTACACATCTAGGTCTTTGAGTCGCAACACGATATTACAAATTATGTGTATGATAAAAGTAAGTGTGAATATGTATATGCTTTAGAAAATACGATATTATCTTGAATTAACATGTATATAACCAAGCTGTATATAGTTAGCACGCTAGATAGAAAACGAAAGCTTTATATTCGTAAAGAAAATTGGCAACTATTTTTTGGTATTAAAAAGACAACACTGACTGATTTACTAGTACTTATTGTAACTGGAATTAAAATTAAAATAATTTAATTTTACAATTAAATCTACAATATTGTGTGAATGCCTGTCAATGGTGAAATATATTACTCATGGTTGTGTAAACCTTTGCTATTAAAATGTCGACCTGAAAGAGTTCTTAAAGTATATAACTAAAAGGTTCACATTCGGTAATCTACTTATACTAGGCCAGTATCGATGTGAAATTTGTCCAAACGCACCGTAAGAACAGAGCTACGTTTCCTCTGCGATTATATTCTCGCTCTCTTTCTCAGTCTCTTTACTGACATGTCTGAGTGACAGCAAAAGGATAAAAACAAAAATACTGTTTCGTACAATCAGATATAGTCTTTGTGTTTATTTTCATAAATTGCACAATGGCTTGGCCTAAGTATACGTAGGATTGTTTTTATAATTTTTCAAATGAAATGAATGCGAATTTTTTCGAAACGTGTTTTGTAAATTATATTCGTAGCAAAAGTTTTACATAGTCATGAGTCAGCACTATTCCTTATATTATTTGGTATCTCTTTGTGTTTTATATGCACAACACATTTTTATAGTTCTAAGGAACGGAAATTAGATAGTATCCCTTAATTTATCTATTAACTATGGCATAAATGCCAGTAATTGGCAGAATATGGGTGCCAGTAAAACTGGCGTGCCAATCATTGGCTTTTATGAGTGGTATATTTAAAAAAGAAAGTATTTTTTTGCGATCGATGTATTGGCAAAAATATGTAAGCTACTTAGAATTCCTAGTGGAGGATTATTGCAAGCTTTACTGCCTAATTCCTTATATTAATCAATTTTTAAAACTTTATTTTACCTTTATCATTGTCTTTTATTTATTTATTGTATTCAGTTTTATATTCTCTTTATTTTCATTTTAAGTAATTTTATAAAGTTGTATTCTTTTACTTTTAATTAATTTATTATTTATTTACATTGAAATAAATATTTCAAGTAAAAATAAGTTGTTTTAATTTGACATTTTCTATTTAGGTACCATTTATACTGCCACTTTATTCAAATATAATCAATTTAAATATATTTAAGGTGTTATTATTGAATTGTCACAAAAACATACAACATTTATACAAAATAAAGAATAAAGAACTAAGTTCACATTTATGCTTTTTTTTAATCCCCTTCAACACAGCTCATTTAATTGAAGCTCAATATAAATAGACAAAACAATATTATTAATATTGTTTTAAAAAATACGTACCTAGTCCAATAATTATTTTTTCTTTCTTCTTTTTTTAAAAACGTTGCCCCACACTAGGATTTTCTCCTGTGTCGTGGGTGCGTTTACAAACATACAAGTTTACATACACAATGACACCCAGACCATTTGTGGATCACACAAAGTGTCCGTGCGGGAATCGAACCCGCTACACGTTGCCCGCAGCCGGTTGCCCAGCCACCGCACCAACCGTGCAGTCACTTCAGTCAATAATGGTTTAAAGGGTCAAACACATAAACAGTTCAAGTTAAACTGAAATGCGTATATCATTGAACATGTCTGTAAAATAACGTTGCAAGGCCAAGTTCGACTGGCGTTCTTGTCCATTTTTTATTGACAAAATTCATTTTGATTATATATCCAAAAATAACCTGAAACAAACATAATTAGGTGAATATTACTAAAAGGGGAAAATCATCGAATGACTTCTCCCGCCTGGGTGAGGCGGGAGGGAGTGCCAAACTCTTACTGACTAAAAATCACCTCGTTCCTACTCCTGCACTTCGAGTCGGAGCCCCGGCAACCCGTTAAATTCTCTGCAGCTCCGTATCGGCTCTTTGACAGATGACAGGATAGGATCCCGTAGATCGGTTCTGTCCTAGTCAACTTAAAAATCCTGCAATATCTCGACAGTTAGCGGTCCTAGCTAAAAAGTGTAATAACATAACATCACGCCTTTCATCCCTAATTTTTTACTATTTATGTTATGAGTCCCATCTGGGAATCTAACCCGAGACCCCTTGTCTTGCATTCGCACATATGCGACCACTCGGCCAACGAAACGGTAAAAAATATTTAAATGTATAAAATGCCTACTACTGCTTTCACAGTAATTGACTGCTTTATACTTCATATTAAAAAAACAATGCAGGCTATTATATGCTTTATGCTAACAATGCAGGCTTGCTTATCTTATGGTCAATATTTCCAGTTCATTATACAATCAGAATATATTTCTCCCATTAGCTGCGATCACTGTGATGGCACTGTTGTAGGTATTATTGTTTACATAACATAACACCACGCTTTTTATCCCCGAAGGGGTAAGCAGAGGTGCACACAGAAGTAACACCCACTTTTCGCTATTTATGTTATGAGCCCCATATAATAGGGGGTGAGCCTATTGGTATTATTGTTTAATGTATGGGAAAGCCCTATTAGGCTAGATTCATTTTAAATTCACCGACTCATAGTAGATGTTCCACCCACATACACGAAGCGCTTCGCATCAAGCTTCCTTGTGTGTACAGCTAAATAATGGAATTCTTTGCCAGAGTCTGTATTTCTTGAAGGGTATAACCTGGGTGTCTTCAAGACCCGAGTGAATAGGTTGATTAGGGGACGACGTGCTCCATCGTAGACCGCATCATCGATTACTAACAGGCGAGATAGAGGTCAAACGTCGGCCCATCAAATATAAAACAAAATTGTCCGTGTTAGGCAATAGGCTATTAACTTAAACCAATTGCAGACCTAGATAAGCTGTCGCGGAGAACCTAACGGGTAACTGGGGCTCCGGCTCGACGTACAGGAGAAGGAACGGGGTGGTTTTTAGTCAGTAAGAGTGTGACACGCCCTCCCGCCTCACCCAGGCGGGAGAAGTCATTCGATGATTTTCCCTCCTTAAAAAAAAAAAGACCTAGATAAGCTAAATTAGTTTAGCTTAGTTCGTATAGCCAATGGTTTTACAAACGTTATACAGTAATAAGTAGCAACAGTTGTAATAATTGGAAACTATGGTTTTTTTTCTTGTCCTCTAATATCTTGTGATTTATTTCGTTGCGGGATCCAAGACTGTAATTCATGTCCCGGGACGCGTGAACCCGACTTCAGTTGTTCGGTGTTTTTTTTATGCGTCGCTATGCCAACTAAGCTACACTATTTTTTATGGGGGGAAATCCTCATGGACTGCCTCCGCCTGGGCAAATTTACCGGCTAAAACCATCCCAGTGTCTCCACGCACGTGCGCGTGGGGTAACAGGAGTCCAAATTCATCTGCAGCCCCCCGCATTACAGTGCCGGCCCGTCCGTCCGGGCCCTCATCTCCTGCACGTAGCAATGTGTAGTCACATGCATTGCCTCAAAGGCGCGCGACGACACCCGCGCGCACCTTCGACTCAGGTCTATCGAATCAGGGGCGGGGACTTCCCCAAGTCCTTCGCCCTTGGACCCATTCATGGGGGCCGGAAGACGGCGTTGTCAGCCCTTCTCCTGCGCCTGGTGGAACTAAGCTACACTAGCTTAACTCTTGGTCTGCAACCCGTTTTAGGCTAGTTCCCTGTTGGGTATGTGGGCCTGGGACTCCATAACTATCTAGCTAGTACCTACCGACCTACGTAAATCTGTTAACTAAACATTTCTCAGTCTGTGTTAACTAAAAGTTTCTGTTAACTTTCGTAAAGCGATGAATATAATTTTAATATTAGCTAAACGAGTTGACGTCTGTTCGTCTGGTTCGACATCATAACGGTTATTTTATTTCCTATCGTCTGCTCTGGGGTCAATCCATTTATCTACATATTTGTTGATTTCTCGTAATCGTTTCTTCATCTCTACCGCTTTGTTTTCACATTTATCGAACCTCTCTTCATATATAATGGATCTAAAGTGGCATTACTTACATTTGAGATCTAAGTATATGACCATTGACAGCGGCGCGCAGTGCTAGCATCTAGCATTATGTAGGAGTACCTACTAGGGATAGAAACAGTGGATTAGCGTGACTTGGCGGGGTCCTGTAAAGGGCAAAGATTTCGCACAAGAGAATTTGTTTTTTAGCATAAAATACTAATAATATTTGCAAACTTTTCAGTCAATTTCCTCTGCCCAAATTCTGGGACTATGATTAGGTACTATACCTCTAGTTTTTCTAAAGTTTCTGCCAACCTTTGAACGCATGCTTTACGCGGGAAAAGCCGTTTATTTTGGTGATTACTGAATACATTAAAACTACACGTTGCCGCCGCGCGTCATAGTCCGGGGCCACGAACAATTTTTTCTACCAACAAAGTTTTCGGCAAACGTGCTGACTCACATTTCTATTAGTATAAGCCATCATATCTGCATCTCGTAGAGTCGTACAAACGTGTTTCTATATTAGATACATTAAACCGCGATTAGTTGAACCGATTTTGATACGACTTTAGTTAATTGTATATAGCGATACCTACCTTCGTGTAACCTGTCAGAAAATGTGGTTTCTGATTTAGAGCATACCTTGATGGTATAAAACCATGAGTTTGTACTTTAAGAATTCAAACGAATTCGATTCAATTTTACTTCAAAACAAAGAAGAAAAATTACTAAATTCCGCTTAATAACGTACTTAAATTGCTGAAATTAATTGCTCTAAACACCATATTACTTGGCTATAAATAGGTACCGATTTACCAGCACATACAAAGTTTCAGTTTCCTGTAGCTACCTACGCCGATATGTTGTCGGTACATATTTACAGTTATTAACATACCTACATTATACATAATAAACAACATGTATTGTAATTTATACACATCATAGTTTTGTGAATGAAATAACGTCTTTATTTCATCGCAGTAATGTCACGAATCGTGTACCTACCATCTTTAGACAGCTGTGTACCTACCTACTTATCATGGCTCATACGTAACCCTCAGGAAATCGCGTACTACTTAACTAGTTGGTTGATGCAGTTCCTTTTATAACTATGTAGTCTTTGTATTTAGATATAGGTATGCCGTGAGTGAGACAAGTTTTTGCCTTTTCAAGTAGGTATCCAGAATACCAGACTTTTTACCTAGCTGTTAGGACTACCTAGGTATTTAAAAAAAATCTCAGTAGTAGCGCGGAGTCTGGAATGGTGCTCGGTATATGGCAATAGGCTCACACCCTATTACACGGGACTTATAAAATAAGTAGTGAAAAGTGGTTGTTACATTGTACAGTGGCACTAAGTGCCGTAATGTACACCTCTGTCTACCCCTTTGGGGATAAAAGGCGTGATGTTATGTTAATCCTGAATAATGGCATGATTGTATGATAATAATAATCATCATCATTGCCACTAATTCAAACCAACCAACTAAAATTACTACTCCAAGAAATAAGCATGCTCAAATAATGATCTAACGTTAGAATTCTCCTGACGAAGGTGCTTACCGGACATGGGAGCTTCGGGAGGTACCTGTGTCTGATAGGGCGGGAGGAAACGCCCGGGTGTCATCACTGCGAGGACCGCCCTGAGGACACGCTGGAACACGCATGCTTAGGCTAAGCACCGCCGGGCCCAGGTCCGGGCCATAATGCGGTGCCAGGACTGAGATGCCGTCTCTTCCTTTTGCGAAGCAGTCATGTTAGCTAATGAGGAGGCAGGGCGCGAGCGCGGCGCAGACCACTAAGGATGGGGCTGATGCCGATACGGAGCCGCGGAGGACTTAACGGGTTGCCGGGGCTCCGGCTCGAATGGCAGGAGTAGGAACAGCATTATATACTTACTATACTCTATGAGGAACGGGGTGGTTTTTAGTCAGTAAGAGTCTGACACTCCCTCCAGCCTCACCCAGGCGGGAGAAGTCATTCGATGATTTTCACCCCCTAATAAAACTGCATAGTTTAAAATGGTAAAAGTCAAACCTCCACTAAAATCAGGCACTTTAAGGGTTAATAGATATTGTTATGACGGGGTTTCAGATTTCAGATCAGATTAGATTCATACTCTCTTAGATGAAAAATAATAAAAACCAAATATCATCAATAAATATTATATTCACATCCACATTAACTACTGTACATTAGATTTCAACATTATACACAGATTCACATTGGGCTAGCTAGAAATATGAAGTTGAGGAATGTTGCTTAATGCACATTTCAAGACAGGTACAGCTAAGACAATGAACACTTCATTAAATTGTAAAATGGCTACAACAAACAACTAAAAATAAAAATATGTATTTAATACCTACATTTTAATAAGCACTTGTATCTTAGTAAGTGTAATATTGCATTAAATATACTGTAACATGAGGGGAATTTTTTTCTATATTTGATGAGTCGACATTTGGCCATTATCTTGCCTGGTACTAAGCGATGAATAGGCACAGAAGATATAATGAATCAATACTATGAAGGATTTCCCAGTATCTATGCAGCCCTCTTCTGACCTTATTAACCTCTCGAACCTATTCACCCTATTTTACAGTAATACATTGTTAACCCACCTTAGATTTTGTTATCTACACTATAAGCTTTGATTTTTTTTTAAATTATAAACTTTAGTATTGCAAAATGCATGGAAGTAAGTTAGAGGACAAAGTTACATTATTATAACAATCATATTTGGGAGATATTCACTGTGGTAGTTTACATACATTTCCTCAAAATCTCTATTAAATATCGTTGTAAACTAAGTATTGAAGTTTACTTCAGATTAATGCAACCAGTTATATCAGTGAAGACCTCTACTTGATAAGCATTGGAAATGTGTTACTTTTGATAAAATTATTGTTTATCTACCAGTTACAAGCCAATAGGTACCAGAGAGAATTGAAACGAAGGAAAATAATAAAGTAATACGAATGTATTTCATTTACAAAGTGAACCAGACCCAATGGATTAAAAATATTTATAAAAAAAATAATATAATACAATTTATAAATTTGATATCTATGATCAATTTGTTACACCTATAATGATGAGTTGGCAGTTTAAATATTTATTTTAAGCAAGTTTTAAGTAATCATGATTTAACTCATTCAGCAAAAACTTTGATAATTCAATTTATTTTAAGATTGTGAAGGTCAAACTTATGTGACTAAGGTAATCTCAACAAGGTGCACTTTACAATAAATGTTGCTGATGATAATGATACCTATATTCTAAATGACATTGTGTCAATGTAGAGGCTTACATTAAAATAAATAAATAATTGGTATGTGCTACATGTTTCCCAAGCTTCGCTTAGCTTTTAAAGCTCAAGGTTTATTAAATAACATCCAATATTACCTTACACAAGACAATGTTTTGCAATGAACAGTTCCCGATTGACCTACTTATTATGATAAATTTTTTAATTAATTAGCTATTTGTTGCATTCCAACTTCCTGAAATGCAACCTTCACATCTTGAAATACTTCATTTGGAGAGACTTCCGCGTTGATCCTGCGCACCAGCCCCAGCTCGTCGTAATGATTAATGATTGGTAAGGTATCATTGATATAAGTGTTGAATCTCTTCTTGAGGCTGTCTAGGTTATCGTCTGATCGGCCGCTGCCGGCCGCTCCGCGACCCAAACACCGCTCCGTACAAATTTCCGGGGAACATTCAAAAAATAATACAAACAGTAACTTGGTTTTGTCGGACATAACACGTTCCCATCCTTCCAAGTTGTCCTTGTTACGTGGGAATCCGTCAACAAGGAAACGCTGCTTACCGGAGTTTTGCATGGCCTTGTGAAGCAGTGAGCACGTAACCTCTACGGGTACGATCTGGCCGTTGCGAATTTTTTCTTCAATCATCTCTCCATACTCGGACCCGGGTCTTTGTCGTTCCTCACGTAATAAATCTCCAGCAGAAAGATGTACAAAATCATATTCTTTAGAAATCAATGAGCACTGCGTTCCTTTGCCGGCGCCAGGCGCACCCAAAACGAATACAACTTCAGGTACCATTTTACTGATATACCGCGAACAATGCCGCACCGCACAACTCAGCATTAAGTGGTGAGACTAATTTATTTTGCTGGAATCCAATTAGTTTTATAAAACATGCGCACTGCCGCAGCCTTGAGGTTTTGACGTAACAGTTGAACCGAATCGATGAACGAACGAGTGAAGGAAACTATTATAGATAGGGATGTAACGACATATCGAAAAACCGATAAGTATCGATAGTTTTCGATATCGTGCAGTTAAGTGACATAAAAACTTAATATTTTCGCAATTAATATCAAAAAATCTGAGGAAAATAAATGCCAACTAAATAGTTTATCACACCATATACACTCTATAAATAAATTTTTTGTAACTACGTTTACTTTTTTGAGGTCGGTTTATTAATATTATTTAATATTAGTATATTAAACCGTCTCATAGTGTAACAAATATTTTTCTGAAAACCGCATCAAATCGATTCAGCCAATCGCAAATCAAACAACAAGCTCACAGGACAAACCGAGAACCTACTTTTTTGTTTTAAGTCGATAAAAAACAATACTCTTCCTTCCGACAGTCGGGTATTAAAATAGGAAGCATAATTTTGTTATTATAAAGGGTTATGAACGCAGTGTGTCTAAACGGTTGAAGGGATCCAGGATCGGGATGTTTGGAATAGGGGTAGATTATGGTCTGGTATGCTATTTTTTATCCCACAGGAACGCGAGCAAACCTGCTAGCAGATGCTAGTGAGGGTGAGGGGAACTCCAGAAAAATCATTGTAGACTTAAAAACAAAAACATCAGTTGAATTTCATAAAAAATAAGTGTCGATATTATTTTAAACTTACAGCCTTATCTATTTCAATGAGTAACGAATTAATGTAGACTAGCGAACGAATGTATTGAAAATTATTTAGGAACTGAGGGAAGCAAATATTTCGTTATAAACGAAGCAGCAAGGGGACGTCACTTTCTTAGCGCTGAGTGAGTAACCTAGCGACTAGGTTACTAGGATACACGGTGGCCACATTAAGGGCTCGTACACAAAACTGCGTCAATGCGACGTCGCATCGCAAAACTTGCGAATTGATTCCCGTCGCGCATCAACATCTTATCTTTCCAAAATCTTGTTTCTTTTTCCTGTATCTCCTAAGCAATAACATAAGTGCACACTTCATTGTACGACCTAGTTTTCAATACGTTTAGTACGGTTGACGGTTGTCGAGGGAATGGTCACCCTAGGAGACGCCTTGTTTGTCGTCGCACGAAATCGCACCGCAGTTTTGTGATTCTCTTTTCAAAACGTTTTCTTTTTAATTTTGTAACACGTAGATTTTCTCTAGTCGTGAGTTTTTACATTTTTACAAAATCACATCACATCCAAACCCAGAACAATAATAATTTATGTTCAGCCGTGCGGGAGTCGAACCCACGACACGTTTCAAGTCATTTGCCTAGAGCTAATGTGGTAACTATTTTGATTAGCTACCACTGCTACCAGGCTCTAGCTAGTAGCTAAACCTAAATGTTGATGTAAATCCAGGAAGGACACTGCACATGACAAAATACTCAAATAAAATAAAACAAAATTATGTAATATGCTTATTTATTAAGATATTAAATAGTTCTACAAAATAATCACATCGAATATCGCCCCAACTCGGATAGTACCTGAAATTGAAAACAATTAATTAATCAATTGAAAACAAAATTATAAATTGTAATTTACGATGATTAGTTCAATCAGTAAAAATAAAAATTACCTCAAAATAATTCAGAACAGGTCTGTGATAGTTCATCATTTTAAAAACTTGGTTTGGTATGAAAAGTATAAAATAAAATAAAAATATGTCCATTGTAAATAATTACATGTAAATGTGAAAATTTTGTTTGCATGTATGAAAGAATTATGTAATTTACCACAAAATGAACGACTACTACACGTTTATTATATTTTACATGTCTTACCTTTTATAGTTGTATTTTGAAGCGGTAGTTGTATTAACTCTTACTAAATCTCCACATGATTACCTGTGAAGACAAGCTACATTTAAGTTTTCATTGATAATAATTTATTAAGATTAAAATAAACTATGATCTCAGGCCTGTTGAGCTTGTTAAACCGTCATGGGGCATCTAGAACAGTGTTGTCATCATTTCAAATAGATTAAAAAATAATTCAGAAGACTCATTTGATATGTCTTTTAAACTGACTTTACGACCAATTATTCTGCAATCTATAAGTAATCTTATCAGTTTAATTTATATTTAAGTACTTACCTAATCAGATTATTAAGCCGTTATCGCAACCCGTGGTATAGATTTATCGTACCTGCAACAATAATGACATACATTGTGAATAAACTCTTTACATTTTGGTGGTATTTTTTTAGTTTAAAATTATTTTCAGTCCTGTTGAGCTTGTAAAAACCGTCACGATGGCATCTGGAGGAAGTTTATCATCATTTTAGTTGTTCTTATGAAAAAATGACATAGTTTTACACATGACAAAATAAATGATACATCACTAAGTGACTAAGATGTTTTATAGTTGATAGAAGATTGTTATCTCACATGACACGAATATCGCGACTGCAAGTCACTTTACTTTGCAATAATTACTGTTAAGGCTGTCTTTTCATCAAAATAATTATCATAAAAATCATCTAGAAACATAGTTTGGTGTTGAAAAACAGATAAATAGTAATTACCTTTTAAAACATAATGACGTAGACTAACGGACCTTCACGTGGGTTTCCATAGTACCTGTGCCAAAAGTAAATGGAAAATTAGTACAAAAATAATTTTCCTTAAATGTAATGTTTTATTTGTAAATAATATTCAGTGTGATATAATTTTTTCCTCATTACTCAGTACAGGTCTGTGATAATCATCATTAAATTGTAACATTACATTTCATGAAATATAAGTTTTGTTTTTTATTTTTATAATGAATTGAAGTGAAGTGTGTAGTAATTGTATAATATTCTTACCTTTTGTGTGTTGCTCTTTGAATTATTTTCTGTAAAACAAAGATATTCATTAGTCAAGTTATTTCATTTATAGTATACAATAATGTTTTTAGAGCAAATTTCTGGCCTCAGTGGAATAGCGTGACACCAGAATTTAGCTCATTTCAATAAAATGCCAACTCACCTTATCCTCTGTGACTTTTACAGCCAAATAAAAAGACGAGGGTTGTTTACAATAGAAAAATTATAATTTAAAAATTAATTACAGTACAATTAATGAATCATGGTTCCCGACATCATAGCGATTCATATCAAACAGACTGTTATATTTTCAATAGTTTATTTAGTATATCTTGTGACAGTAACAGCCGTCACTCAGTAACAAACGGTCCGACCAGCGTCGTCGTGCTTAACACTTAACTTAATTGAGGCGATACATCCATGTATGTATGTTAAAATAAAATTATTTCGTAATGTTAACGTAAAGTTGTGTGGTGCGTGAGGCGCGCTCAATAATGTTACATATATTACAGTTCGGATTGCATTAGCTACGACGTTTACAGTTTGTCCAAATATTGACTTAAGTCAGGCAGACCCTCCTTAAGTCCTTTCCTTTTCCTTGTATCCTGCAAATACAAAAATAATGTCATTAAAAATAGAAAACAAAATTATTTGAATTATAAAATTTATTCTGAAACAAATGTATCTCCCGCGCCGTAGCATGCGGTCCTTGGACATAAAGATAGAGGTCCTATGCAGCGTTTAGACGTGGGTTTAAGTTGCTATGCTTCGTTTGCACGCCGCAGCCATCTTTGCGAATCAGCCGACAAGCAACTGTCTCGCTACGGCGTGGCACGGTGTGCCGGAAGGTTAAAGACAAAGTGTCTGAACAACTATTGAAATATTTGACAACGTGAACATTGTATATCAATATCATGTACAAACCTGCACAATGGTGTAAGGCTTGGAGCTGGGCTCGCATGGGTCACCGGGCAGGACCTGCCAGTGGTCGAACACACACTGCGGGAAGGCCTGTCCTCCGGTGTTGGAACGCAAGTCGGCGGTGAAGCCGAACGACTCGTTGACGGGCAGGTACGCCTTCACCACGAACATGGGGGTACCAGCGACCTGAGACTCCTCGAATACGTGACCACGACGTCTGTTCAGGACACCGTAGATACCACCGACAGCGACCTCGGGACACTGCAAAGTATAAACTATGTATAGTCGAACTGTGTAACATTTAATATTGATCATGTCACCAAGACAAACTTATTGAATAAAAATTTAAATTTTTTACACAGAATTTACTAAAAAAAGAATTCTCAAATTCTAATTACGACATCATAATATTATCGTGATGCATTTGCATTTACTTAATGTAAACCATGCGCTACTTTTATTCGAAAGTGATTATTTGTATTTCATATTCATACTGGTTGTAGTGCACTAAACAAAAAGTTGTGCACTACTTGTTTGACAAACTTTAATTTCGTTATATATTTTTAGATATGTGCACTTCCTTGACCCAGTGCTATTTATGCTTGGGTGTTGTTGCAGATGACACTAATATTTTTTTTTATTTAGTTTTAGGATCTTTCGCTCTTATACCAATGGGAAAATAACTTATTTTGAGGATGTTCCAATAATCAAGGGCTGTTATAATTTTGTAAGAATGTTAGGTCCCCTATTCAGGCAAGGTGTATGTTGGGTGACAATGCCAAAACAAAGAACTGTTGATCTGCCACGTCTCGGAAAGGCGGTACTAATCTGTGCATGCTAGTCCGCTCAGGAAAAACGTGGGGTCATGCTGGGATACATTCACAGCAGATACTTTGTAAATAGATATACTAAATATGAATATACTACAGTATTAATCCAGTCTTGTATTAAAATATATGCATATATTTTTGGATAGGTTACTTTCACTTCAACATGACAGTCTAGCTAGATGTAGAACATCATCGCGCGAACAACTTTCAAATCATTCAAGCAATAATACTGTACAATTACAACGACTGAATTAATAGCAGTTGGTACATTCTCATACAGCGTGCGTGTTACAGATGCGGCACGTACCTGGATCTCGCACAAGTAGACGGGCTCCATGAGTCTGGGCTGCGCGGTCAGCAGACAGGCGTACAGACATCTTCTCGTGGTTGGAATGATTTGACCGCCACCCCTGTGGATAGCGTCAGTGTGTAGCGTGACGTCGTAGATGTTGAAGCGCACTCCACGCAAGTTCTCCTCGGCCATGACTCCCTCCTTGGCGGCCCATTGGAAACCGGCGACCACGGAGTCCTTGATCTCGTTCAGGTACTGCACTCCCTTGGAGCAGTCGACCAGTATGTTGGGACCAGTACCCTCGGGACCGAAGCACCAGATCTTACGCGCCTCAGTCACGTCGTACTCGTACTTGTCGGTCAAGTAACGGGCACGAGTCTTGAAGTCATCACGGGGGTTGACCTTGCCCTGTGTCATAGAAATGGATCATTTATAATATTTTTTTTATTTTAATTTAACAATAAAATCAATTTAATAATTATGTATCTCCCGCGCCGTAGCATGCGGTCCTTGGACATAAAGATAGAGGTCCTATGCAGCGTTTAGACGTGGGTTTAAGTTGCTATGCTTCGTTTGCACGCCGCAGCCATCTTTGCGAAGCAGCCGACAAGCAACTGTCTCGCTACGGCGCGACACGGTGTGCCGGAAGGGAATTTGAATGAACTGGTTCTTACGTCGTCAATGTCCTCGGGCAGACCGTCAGGCATGGGTTGCGCCTTCATGAAGAGACGGTTGTGCTTGTTGGGCGACTTCGAGAGACACATCTGGTCGGACATCTCGTTGACAGTCTCACGGTAAGATACGACAGGGTCGGATTTCTTGATTGGAATGCAAGCGTGGTCCTCCTCCAAGTCCTGTGTAATTCAATATTGTTAACAAAGTTGTCTTAATTATAAATATACAGCATTTCAAAGTAAAGTACTTAAATATTTGACTATACAAATGTCTCACACATTTATGGGGTCACAAGCTATAGAGTCTTACAACCAATTCCGGTATGAAGTACAATGTTAGTCCACTTTGACACCCAGATCCTTATCGTAAGTAACTGGCAACACTTGGGACTCACATTTTATATTTAAAACACAAGTAAATGGTAAAACTTACCTTAAGACAGATCTCAAGATGGAGCTCTCCAGCACCAGCGACGATGTGCTCTCCAGACTCCTCATTGATACATTGTACCATAGGGTCTGACTTGGCCAGACGCTTAAGACCTTCCACCAGCTTGGGCAGGTCAGCAGGGTTCTTGGGCTCGACGGCCACACGCACGACAGGCGATACACTGAACTTCATGACCTGGGGAGAACAGTCACATTTATTAAATGCTATGTAAAAATAAATTGTTCATATAAAGAAAATATTTTAATTCTTTGAGTAATATTGACTAATAAAAGTTTATTTACCTTCATGTTGTGAGCATTCTTGAAGGTGGTGATGGTTCCGGTCTTGACGAGGAACTGGTCAACTCCGACCAGACCACAGATGTTACCGCTGGGCACATCCTCAATGGCCTCAACGTAACGTCCCATCATGAGGATGGTACGCTGGATGGTCTTCTCATACAGATCCTATAAAAAGGAAACATATATGATTACCACGGTGATTAAATGGGACTATGTAGTTGTAAATAAATGTCAGAATATGATCTTCAAAATGAAGAAACCAGGATTTGCTTTCCTTTTATAATTTTCAAGTAAATACTTTGATGTCGACTTACCTCCTTCTTGCCAGGGGTGAAGTTGGGTCCCATGATACGGGCCTTCTGTCCAGTGACGACCTTTCCGGAGAAGACACGTCCGAAGGCGTAGAAACGACCCTTGTCGGAGGTCGGTACCATCTTGCTCACGTACATCATGAGGGGAGCTTCGGGGTCACAGTTCTAAACAACACATGAACAACATTAGCATAATAGTAAAAATAGTGAATCTATGATAATTGTCATAAAAAAAAAAGCCCGAAGTATGTCAAAGGTAAGAAAATGTTTCGTTATTGAAACAAAAATGTTTTTTATTTACCTTGATACCGATAGCAGCCTCATCATCATGGGGTCCTTCGTACAACATCTCCATACGGTACTTCTGGGCTACCACGGGGGAAGGCAGGTGGATGGCAATCATCTGAAGCAGAGCTTCACCAGCGGGCAGCCAGCTACGCATAACCACCTGTGCAATAAACAAATAATATTTATTTAGTTTACAATCATATTTATTTATTTTAAGTAAAATGTTTAAAAGGTAAGAAGTTAATAATTGCAATGTAAATGTCTCACACATTTATGGGGTCACAAGCTATGGAATCTTACAACCAATTCCGGTATGAAGTACAATGTTAGTCCACTTTGACACCCAGATCCTTATCGTAAGTAACTGGCAACACTTGGGACTCAGTCTTAAATATTATTTTCTATTATGAAATAATATACTTTCAATTGGTCAGAATTGAAAATTCAAATTAACTCGTCGAGTACCAGTTTTGTAGACACAATTATAGAACAATAGGTTGCGGTCACCGGTGACCGCTTGGTGTTTGACAGTTTAATATTACTTCATATTTTAATCAACTGTATCAGGGTTTAATTTTACTCCTCGCCTTCAAAATTGATAAAAAACAAAACTCATGAATTCCTTAGTACACAATCATGTGACTTTCTAAAAAAGTAAGTTCCATACCTTGAGCAGAGCCTTTCCGTCCTTGTCAGCATCCTCGTGCTTGATGGTGACTCCGATCTTGGTGAGGAGACCGTCGATCTCCTCCTTCTTGAAGTTCATGATGGCGTCGAACACCTTGTAGATGGGGTCCAGCACGTACATGCAGAAGGAACGCTTGTTGTCATTGTCCTTCTGTTTCGCCCACTTCTTGGTCTTGGCGTTGAAGAAGTTCTCTCCCCAAAGTCTAAGAGAGAGGAAGTAGGAATAAGATTTGCGTGAAATTAATGAATTACCTAATTTTACCGAAATTTATTGTACACTGAGTCGGTATTTCCTAAAAAGCAGCTGTGTGTTTAGTTACATACTAAAATAGTACTAACAATTCAAAGCCTTGAAACCTTGCTACAAGTTTTTTCTAAATGTATTTTGCCGTGATTACGTCATCGCCGTGCCATAGGTACTTGATATTCTAGATAGCAACAAAATGTTTCTCAATAATCGTTGTAAAAAGTCAATATATGAGCAGTTCACCAATCCCAATTGAGATTTAATGTTTGTCCCGGTCTGCCGCTGGTGTATAGCATATAACTTTACCCAGTATCAATGGGACAAAATAACCTAAATATTAGTATATATTAAGGAATACTTAAATCTTAGAAGTCTGAGAATTAATCATCAAGTATTTGTAGTTTAATTACCAGATAAACTGAATAAGGACGCAAATAATAAACATATACTAGCAAACATAAACATAAACTTAGTAATAAAATATTAGTTAGTCCATTAACTAGTAATTAAACTTTGTTAGACATCGTCATGTTGCATGTAATTCTTGGATCGGAGTCATTATGGCGGTGCGGCGAACACATGTCGCGCTAAGCGATTATTGATGAAGTTGAAACTAGAACGTAGCTTAGGCTTCGAAGCTAACATATACGGGAAAATGGCGTCAATCATTAACTAATCATCAAACCTTGGAAGTATAGTGGAAAATGACTTCTATGTTGAGCGCATTAGGTTTAGAATCCGAGAGTGATGTCGATGGCTAGTGTTTAACCGTTACCAGACGAGGTCACGTGTTCACAAATCAATGCGCGCTACACGTCATTCGGTGCATCTGCAATGCTGCATTTTGGAACTTAGATTGCCTACTCGTAAAAAAGGAAAACATTGATACGTACCTATACATAAGTCAGAAAATGTGTAATGTGCTACAAACTACAAAATCTATTTTTAACCAGAAGATATTTTAGGAAGTAACCCCATTTGGGGTCATTCGTAAATCGTAACACGTGTACAACTGAATATAACCTCAAAATGTATACTACTGTAGGAACTACACAGTTAATTTTTTAAGCCCGTTTAGACGTCGGCTATATTTGGTTTTAAAGTTGAAAAAAAAAAAGGTTCGGCGTCTGCAGGTAACATTTCATACCCAAATCGAACGTAGCTAAACATAACCAAAAAATTTGTATCCTTATTCGACTTACCTGTTCATGAGCTTGACAAGGTCGATCTTGAACTTGTCGGCGTACATCTCAGAGAACTGCTTGAGGGTGAAGGCCCAGCCGTGGAGACCGGATCCGAAACCGACGGAACCCTTGCTGGGGTCAACACGGACCTCACCTGATCAAATTACAAGGAATTTTGAGTACACTACGGTGGTTTAAAAGGTCTAATTCACATTTCGGCTAAACGATTAAAAGTTGTAGCGACATCTAAGTTCGTTAACAAATGTATCACAAGAAACGTTGAAATTGTCAAAACTATGAACAAATTCATTGACTTATATTGAGAAGTTAATATTCGTCCCGGTCTGCCGCTGGTGTATAGCATAGGTACTTTACCCAGTATCAATGGGACGATTAATAAGACCCGTCCTAAATACCAACTTTGCAATTTCTGAATAAATAGTATAACGGAGTCCTAATTTCATTCCATTTCAAATTTAATTCGAGAATACGATCGGAATTTAAGATTTCATAGAAAACAGATCTACCTACTCTAGAAAATGCTTTTTCGATGAAAGTAGTTTTACTGCATTATCCTTGCATGATATAACTGTAAAATAAAATCGATCGTGTCTGCGAAGAAGTCGTAACCTTAAGATCGTTGAACCTGGCAACCTTCATTGCACTAATGAATAGCTATTATTATTATCTATTGTGGCAAGATAAGTAATAAATTATATGAACTGGCCAGTAAATCGATTTTTCTATAACTATAATACAAAAGGTCGAAGTTCAATAACTTTGTAAAGCTTTATTAAAATAGGGTTCAATTTTCAGTAGCTACAGGCTACGATATAAAAACGCGAGTCATGAAATTGAACGTTTCAGATAATCCGCATTATTTAGTGTTAATGTAAAAATTACACAATGATTGTATGTATTCGAAAAGACCGCGGCATGACCTTGACGCTGTTTATCAATGATCGCCCGATTTACCCACACGTGACGAACACACTCGCCTCATGATAACGTGACATTTGTATTCAAACTATTTACTTACATTGTTGATCTACCGAATACATTATTTTACAGAGTTCTATAAATTACCGCATAGTTTTACTAAGGGTACGATTTACAACAAATCAACGAAGTTTGTTTCGTACAAACGCGTCTACTTACGACATTGTTTGGTAAAAAAATTGAGGAAGAACCGGTTTATAAAAATACCGGATGCCATGTGATTCAGCGTCTACCTACTTAATTAACAATGAATGCCATCAAAGTACAAGAACAGCGTCAAATTCATTTTCGGTGGGAGATTTTCTAAGCCCCGGGCCCCCTGATTGGTCGGAGTTTGTGCCTCGTTGTAAAAACGAGATTATACCGGGACCCTGGCCGTTTTGCACCCCGGGTCGATCTTAATCCGACCCAGTATTACTACGTTTGTTATAGTTGGAGGTTCCTGACTAATTTCGCGAGTGCTATTACGTCACTGGCACAGGGGAATAAAGCGTGGGCAGGTAGTAGGTTGAATACGACTGAAATACATTATTGATCCAGTCCCACTCAACTAGCGAAGGTCATTGAAGTTACGTGGGTGTTCTGTCTACAATAACTTTATAAATTGGATTTTAACTTGTATAATAACCTTTTCATTTTTAGTGTTTGTTTGAAATAATAACTAAGCACATTTCAAGAAAAAAATTCTTGAAAGAATTAAGTTTTATCGGTAGGTAAGACTTTCGTATAGGCACCTATTCAAAACACGTGAATGTAATAATCAGATGATGACACATTAATGGTATTATTAAGTGTATAAAACTGAGTTTATAAATTTTATTCACAAGGGTTATAGTAGACTTAGCAGAAATTTGTATAAGATATACAAGTAAAACATACTTTCACCAAAGTGTAACATGGCTTGATAACTCTACAACAATAAAACACGCATCCATCACGCACGAAAAAAATACAAATCAGCAGGAAGGGAGATAGGTCCGGCTAAATAATCTTATCTGTAAAAATGTTCAAACATACAAAATAGACTTACCCATGGGACCACCATCGTCGTTGTAAGTGGCGATGATGACGTTCACGTTTTCAACAATACGCTGGAAGGTCTGGTACAGTTCTTCAGCTTCCAGTTGCAGCTCCAGCAGAGCACGGTCCATCTTGTTCATGAACAGGATGGGCTTGATACGCTCGGCAATAGCCTGACGCAGTACAGTCTCGGTTTGTACGCACACACCTATGCAAAGGTAACACTTTTAGCATTATTGTGCTGTTCACCATATTTATGAAGATTCAATTTATTTTAAAATATTTGTATCTATTTGATGTGTTGATTTCTAAGGTCTATGATAGGTTGCTTAGAATAATAATAAGTTGTATAATGTAATCAATAAATTGTTTTTACAAGATAAACATAAAGCCTTGTGTTAACTAGTAATATTGATAAGGGTAAAAGTTTAAATGTTAATCAATGACAATGTAATACATAGTCATTACGATTCATAGACACATGATTTGCAAATATTTGGAACTGTCATAACTTCTGCAATTGCATTGAAAAGTATGAAATTGTGCAATCAATGCTACTCAATGGATATTGCATAACTTTTGAAAACAAAAAGAATTAGGCTAAAGAAACTATTTTGAGTGTTATAGATAGAAAATGTTTTTGTTAGATCAAATTTTCAATTCTTCAAAGGAGCAGGCAGATGTGCACAAAGAATAGAGCACATTTACAGATGGAAAGTTATTGTTACATTCTTCTGAATGTCACAATAACTTTCCATCTGTTTGGTAGTCCCTTGCAAGCCTATTGTTGTCTGAGAGACAATTCAATGCCCTAATATTATACAAGAGAAAAGGAACAAAGGCTCGATAGATGCTCTATTGAAAATGCCATGCCTTGCCAAATGACCTATATTTATTAATATTTTAAGGTGTTATCTAAAGTTACAAACCTGAGACGCAGTCTACGACCACAAGAGCTCCATCAGTTACACGGAGAGCAGCAGTTACTTCAGATGAGAAGTCAACGTGCCCAGGTGAGTCGATAAGGTTAATCAAGAAACCCTTTTCACTCTTCTCACGCTGGTCGGGGTTGGTGATGAACACCAAGTCTTTCTCTTCGAGCTCGAAGAACATAGAGATAGCGCTGGGAAACAATTTCCAAAGTTACGCAAAGTTTTTAACATGATTAAGTACCTAATAATATTATTTAAAACATCAGATGGCCGTTCTGAAGATCTTCAGTGATATTCAGTTTTCAATGGTAAAGAACAATCATCATTTGAAATAGTAAGTGTTAGCACCATATTTCACAAGTCATCATATTGTGAAATCCTAGCAAAACAATGAATATGCATTGATATGCAAAATATTAATGCAACTTAAGTATTTCTAGGATAGTAGTGCATTAAATAAAGTTAATTGCAATTTTAGACAACTATCAGCTGATTTTGATACCTAGTGCCATGACATCACAATGTTGTCATAACAATGGGAAAGGCATGGGCAGCCATGTCTATATGGATGCTGTGAAGTTTATCTTCCCATTTTCAAAATAACTCAACAGTAACTTTAACAATAAGGTTAGTTTCAAGTGGGGTGATCTTACAACCCATTTTGAACATTGCATAACCTCAAATTGTGACATGTTATAACATAAAACCGCCGCAGTCAAGTTCAAGGAGACATAATTGCCGACTGGGCGTAATGCTAGACTAGCAAACAAAGGGCGCCGGTTGCACCATGTGGTGACGCAAGTACTCACGTTGACTTGATGGTGATGCATCTGTCCTGCTCGTCTTTGCGCGTGTCCGTGAAGCGTGTCTCTCCGGCACGGGCGCCAGCAATGATACCGGCCTTGGAGACCAGCGAGTCCGTCAGGGTGGACTTGCCGTGGTCGACGTGAGCGATGACGGACATGTTGCGGATGTTCCGCTTCTTGTCCATCATCTGACGGATTTCGTCTACGGTGAAATTCACCTGCACAAACCAGAAAACAGCTCGTCAACATAATATCCAACATCATAACACAGATGGAACACTTTAAACACGCACGTTTCATATTTATAACGATTCGTTCAGCTTCTGCTGTCTAATTGCGATGATTTTATGCTATTCTAGTCCGTTTTACACGATTCTAAACCGACACCGATCAATCACCGCAACACTTGGAAACGTCATCCGATCACAAAGACGGTCGTCGTGAAGAATGTAGTATTTTATTTTCTTCAAATACCCGAAACTCGTAAAATATAAACGCGAAACTATAGCACAGTCACTTGGGAACACTTTTTGGCACAAATTTATCATATTAAATACTCACCATTTTGGATGGTTATAGATTTTTCGTTCAATAAAATAAACTACCATACGCCAGCTATGGCGTACGCTTCAAAAAGAAGGACCCTTTCGTGCGAGGGCCGGATGTGGCAGACAGCCGTCAAATGAAAGTCATTCCATAGACAACCTATATTTATAATTTTTTGCATAGCGAGGGTTACTAAATAAAATATTTTATTCGATTGTGATATTTCAAGAATTTCGTTATTCGACTAATTTCATAATATGTATTTCAAATTAAACAAGTAATTTTTGTCTGAAATAGTAAAGTTTTACGTTTAAGGTTAAATAAATAATACACTTCGAGCTATTAAACTTCGAGGCACGAAGTTGATTTTTGGTTTTGGTTTTGTCTTTTCGTATATTTTTAGTATAGTATCGAATACATTGTAATCGAGTATTCGATAAAAGTAAAACTACTTTTTATTTCTTACATCTTATTTTCACACATCAACAAATCCTCAAATAAAGTAATTTTATATTATATTTTCAAAACACTTTATAACACTCCTATCTCACTGTATCGCGGAAAATGTTAATAGTATTGTTTATTACTAAAAATATATCACTATACTCTTTGCATAAAAGTGGTCTGGTACATCACAAGATTCACAAATTATTTATTCAAGATGATTAATTAAATTAAACTATTGTTAGACTTATTATGAAAATAATATTATAATTGGACTAATGTAAAAAACAGTTAGTTTTTTCAAGATTATTTCAAAAATGTTCATAAAATTAAAAATTGCTCACAATTTTTTTTTTTAAATGTACCTAAAATATAGCTATAAAATATAATTAAATTATTATCATGTTTATATAAAATGTTTACAGTGCCTACATGTTCTTCCAACGTGGATTATTTTTGTTTGGTTTCATGACAACGTGTACAACGTGGTGATTGCCGCACGCGCAAGCATTAATACAAAATGGTTATATTGCAAAATATTTAATCATAAAATATTTAATTATTGGTTAGTGATTGTAATCAGATGTACTGACTGCATATTATTCGTATTGATCGTTTAGAATTTGGAATGTAATCGAAAAGATGTATCTATTTTGGGTGTGGCAAATTTTTTTTCATGTTTTTACAGCGAGTTATTATTTTATAGCTTTTCAACACTAGATGGCGTAATTGTAACACTGCTCAGTGCCGCCATTCTTGTTTACACTTTCTTAACAGTAGAGCTACTCGGCGCGAGATGGCGTTGATAACTACATTTTAAATTTAACTACACAACGTAAACAAATAACTTTTCGGCAAGTTTTAATAACTTCGTATTTTTTTGTACACTCGTGTAGCTAGCCACTTATTGAAGTATTACTTCTATCGTTATTGTCTAAAGTAAATAATTTAAATTCTTGTTTTTCGTTTTTGTCATTAATAAGCAAATTGCTGTAATTTATTCGCAAATTAGTTTTTATACCTATTCGAATAAAACTTAATTATTTGTTTGTTATTTTACTGTCTAACCTAATAAAAGGTAGCGTGATAAATACAAAAACAGCTGTTATTTTTGTATAGCATTTAATGTATAAATCAGATTCTGTATACAAATTGTGTTTGCGGCTTATCATGAAATTAGACATATTGTGATACGCCTATGTTATGCAACGTTATGTATTACAGATTATACTATCTCCATTTTCTAATCTTGGAGACTTAATCGTAAGAGAATCATATTGTCGATATATCATTGTTTGTTCAAGCACTTTATAATAAAGGTAGAACTTAGTTGTACTGAAAGTCGGCGTGAAACAATTATTCGCCATAATATGAATGAGGTTACGGGGGGCATTCGGCCTCCAAAGGCTGGCAACGCATCCTCGACTCCTCTGGTGCTACGTCCCTGATTATATTTATTATCTGGTGAACCGTCTACTGCCTACTAATAAAAGCATGTCTAGGTAGACTATGACAAGTCTAATTTAACGACTAGCTTTCTACATTATAGGTATAGTATCTATAAAGGTTTGTATTGCAGGGGCAAGGGCAGTGGGGTGAGGGTGGACATTGCATTATTACGTTACGAGGGCTCATGCTATAGGGTTGGCCCGAATTTTTTACGTACGCACTTTATAATATATATTTTTTTATGTTTTAGATAGTTGGTATTGTCTGAATTATGGGAATAGGCCAAATTTTGGTAAGAATACTAAAAAGTGGATATTGCATTAATTGTGCAAATCTCTCTGTTTGTCTGTACAAAGTTTCTCGGTGTATAACATACAAATATTTAGAAGCACCTATTTGTTTAAGCTTTAAGTAGGACCTCTACTTACCCTAGGTACTCAAGTTGCTCCACAGCTTCGGTGGTAAAAAATTTCTAGCATCCACGAACACGAGACACTATGAGTGCTTCGAAGACAATATCGAAAAGCATGGAGTCTGACTTCGACATTCTTAAAATCGTAATAATAGGTAACAAAGTTGCGACGAATCTAATAACTCGTTCCTGTCTTTTGTTTTCTAGAAAAAATCTCAACTGGTTAATGTTCTAATGGCCAATTTACCACGGCCTCGGTTGCCTACTGACAAATTGCTTTAAAAGGTTTTTAAATGCTTCCGACACCGAGCGCCGCGCGTCGGTGTAGTGTCTCTTATCTAAAAAGTTAAAAAACAAAAGAGTTATTGAGCTAGGAATTACACAGGAATTTGTTCTTTAGGTATTTTTAACAGAGTACATAAATATTCCTGATTTATTTGACTTAGGTACAAAAACTATCTACTAAGTGCTGGTCCAAGGTTATTAGTAGCAGCCACTTCTTACCTTTATTGTTTGTGATAGGTGATTTAAGTCACAAAAAGAGCAATAAAAACTGCAACTCAGATATTCAAAATATCTAATAATAAAGAAAAAAATGATGGCAATACCAATAAATATTTGCATCGGGCAACCCTGTTCCACCGGTTCGTAGGGGAGACGCCAAGGTCGACAGATTACATAAATTTGGACAAAATTGCTCGTCCGATACCGTGGGTGCGTGTCCGAATAAATTACACCTCTGTTATTGCATTTTACATAAAAGAAATCGATTTCTTTTCAACTTTTTTTTAACGTCGAATACAAAAGCTTTTTTGCATTTGATTTTTTAAGCCAGCTGTATGAACCTTTATTTCTTTATTAAAGTAGGATTATATTTTTCAGTGGGCTGCTCAAAATTGGAACAGGTCCTTATTTTCTAAGATTCTGTATTGTGCAAACTATGATAACCTGACTTTTTTTGTTAAGAATTGGAAGGAAAAACAATTAGTTGCGTAATTCAAAGCTCAAATAAGTAACAATTCACCTATTCACAAGTTATCAATAAGCAGCTACAGTTGCTTATTATTCGAACCACACTATTATAGAGGAAAGCATATAGCTAGGAGTGCGTTGGCGGTAACGCCGCGGAAGTATCGCTATATTTGCCATTCAGAGCCTACTCAACCATACACGAGCTTATGAATAATTTAATCAAGTCCCCGGTTAACATTAATTTATGAAGTCGACCGATCTTATTTGAAAATATAAATAGTTAGCTAGTGCCATTGTTTCACTTGTTTACGTGGTAAGTATACCTACGGTTCAAAACTGACACTTATTGAATTGAATTGTAATAACATTGAAAATGGCTAGTCGCCTCCTGAAAATAGTGTAATAATTATTTTAATGAATTTAATAAAGAGATAGATGATAATATTGAAGGTCGGTTGACATGTTTGTTACGTACGTCGGTTATATTTCCTACAGGAAGGAAGGATGTTTTTCGTCACCTATCGTTATTGTCAAATTCCAAAGTCAATATGGAGTAATTTGAAAACATTTTGAGAATAACCCGAAGGGTTTTTTCCTCGAATCAGGAAAACTGAAACTGAGTGTAGTCTTTTATCTACGTTAACTTTTATCTACTGTCTAATTTATAATCTAGCATCCAGGGGTCTCGCTGATGATCTAGAACCTAGTTAATTCGTAATAAACCACTTAATGTGGGTAACCTTTATGACTTACTAGATGTTGTAAATGCGTTACTACGCCGTGCAATTAGCTCGGCGCAGGCGTAATAATAGACCCGCAGTAAATATAAGCTGGCTATTTCCGAACACTGCACATCCACGAACAGGACAACTATAGGAAGACTGCACTAAATATTGTACCGTTTATTCCAGGGGTAAGTAGAGATAAGTTAATTAATGTTAGTAACGTAATTATCAAATATAAATGTGTCTACTGCCTTAATCAGGTTCATTTAATGGTTACTTAACTCAGTCCTTAGCAAATTGTTTTCGGAACAAAATCGTCTTTTATTGAAATAAACTTTGACCCTATTTTTTTTTAATAAACTTTTGTTACTACGGAATAGTTTCAGTAATCAATAAATGTCTTTTTTATCTTTATTTATCTTTTTTATCCCCATGGATATGCCAACCCCATTGTATTAACTCGTCGAATACCGTCATTATAGACACAATTATAGAACAATAGGTTGCGGTCACCGGTGACCGCTTGGTGTTTGACAGTTTAAATGTCTTTAAATACGGCAGACGGCAGTAATTGAATTTAGAAAGTGTAGAAACTGAAACTCAAATGTATTTATTTCAATTGAACTTTAAGCTGGTACTTTTGAAACGTCAATAAACATAAAATAAATAATAGTCTGGTAGTCTGTCCGTCAGTGAAGCTAGGCGAAAACCCAGCTAAAGGAAACCGTTCAAAGCGGTTATTTCAACATTAGGTACAAACAGACACTCCAATTTTATTTATACGTGTGTATAGATGAGTAAATATGTACTTACATTTGTACCTACATAAGTAAGATTTTGTGATAGTTTATAATTAATGTCGATTTTTAAGATATGAATTAATTATGTTTTTATTTTTTTAACCTTGTCATTAATGTTCTTCCTTGAAGATAACATCCCTGAAATATGTTGAATTTGTAAGTACAAAAAGTAATTATTGTAATGTAGCACTGAAACTAATGAAAAATACTTATACATACCGACATTACCTACAAGTTTGAGCAAGTGTGGTTATTAATACTCATACCAATACTCACTCAAAGGACACTTACTATCTTTGCATGCAGAAGATATATCCTTCTCTTGTGAG